TCCCTAACGGAGGCGTTCGGATTTCGGTTGAAGGCCCCAACTACGCGGTTGTGATTTTTGGTGTTGTACGGAATACTTTTTCCTTCACTTCTGGGCTTCCGATCGGTGGTCAACCGTTCCTCGAACCGCTTAATCACTCGCGACACCGTGGAATTCGCGATTCCCAACGTTTTAGCGATGGAACGATGCGAGAGATCCTTGTTCTCGTGATGAATGCGCAAGATTTTATCACGCACGAGCTGTTCTTTCGACTCCATTTCCGCGAGTTTTGATCACAGGACTTTAAAACTTGCAGGATGTAAATAATGCACTATGAACTAAATCCACCCAAATTTTCATTAAATTCTACCCAACGGTTAAAAAGTTAGAGCAATTTCATAGTGTGGCAATTTCATCGTGGACACCCTTTATACCCTCGACGAGTGAAATAAACCGACCTATCTGGTCGGTATGTGTGCCATTCACGCCAAGCGTGTCATAATTATGCCAAAAGACATTCAGCTGGCTCTTCGTATTTGTGGTGAACGCTTTTAATTTCTCCGTCGAAATATATCAAAACCGGCCTTTTTCAGAGCCACTAAAAGATTCCACAAAAGAGTTGGTAATGAAATTTTTGCTGCTTACAACTGATCACATCACAGTGAATCCTGATCTAAAAATTGCAACCAGCACCTACACTGATAGGCAAAATAAAGTGCCCACCCCATCATTTTTTGAATTTCTCTCATTTATTTGGTTCAAATTAAAGTAAATACACTGTAGTATTTTTTATATCTTATTCTTTATATTCTTTTTAAGTTTCACTTATAGAATACCAGATAAAAAGAAGAGACTGACTCGAAGAAAAAAAAATCAAAATGGGTGTAAAAAAGAACAGTGACAAAAAAAAGTGCCCACTGCATTTTAACTCCAGAAAACATAAAATAAAGTAAAAGAATACCAGCCTAATAGTTAATGTGTCCTCCTTTGGCCTTCAGGACCAGCTGCAGGCGCTTCGGCATGCTCTCCACTAGATTCTTCAGGTGCTGTGGATCTAGTTCTTCCCAGGCGCGCTCCAGGGCTTCAAAATAGTTATTTTTATTGGTAACACCAGTTTTGTCAACCCTGGCATCGAGAATCGCCCACAAATTCTCGATGGGGTTGAGGTCCGGGCTTTGTGGAGGCCATTCCAGTGGTTTAATTCGACATGACCGGAAGAAAGACTTAGTCTTCTTGGCAGTATGCTTCGGATCGTTGTCCTGCTGGAATACGAATTTCTCCTCAAGGCCCGTCTGGATCAGCGAAACTTCCAGATTTTCCCGCAGGATGTCGATGTAGGAATCTGCCGTCATTATCCCGTCGATTTTCACCAGGCTTCCCACTCCACCCCACGAAAAGCACCCCCAGACCATCACATTTCCTCCTCCATGCTTCACCGTGCCTTGTATGTGGCGCTCCTGAAGCTCCTCACCCGATCTACACCACACACGAACCCGTCGCTTCCGGTTGAACAGTTCGAATTTTGATTCGTCCGTCCAGAGAACCGTTTTCCAGAACTCTAGGGGCTTATCAGCATGCTCCTTAGCAAACTTAAGCCGTTTGACTTTGTTTGCCTTGCTGATAAATGGGCGCTTCCGAGCAACTTTGCTGTTCAACCCCTGTGCTACGAGACGGCGACGAACAGTTCGACTGGAAACTGTTAGCTGAAGAGCCTCCTGGATCTCGCGGACAGTTACCTTCGGGTTCTTCTTCACTTCACGCATGATCTTGGTGTCCGTTCTCGCATCCGTTTTGCGCATCCTGCCTCTGCCAGGGCGATCCACCACTGATCCGAACGATTTCATTTTCTGCAGAATTTTCCCGACCGCTGTTTTGCTGATATTGTACTTCCTAGCGACAGACCGGTGCGATTCACCGTTTTGCACATCACGAACAACCAATTTTCGGATACACACGGGAATTGCTTTCGAAATCACTACGTCCTCCATTTTTTTCAACTGATTCAAATGCGATCACGTGTACAAATGCACCAGTTCCACCCGTTTGCTTCAATACATGTCAAACTTTCAAAACAAAAACAATCGAGGGGTTTTCCGATGGAAACTTATCGAAAACATACCGATTTTTGAAGTGGGCACTTTTTTTTGTCACTGTTTTCTTTTTCAATCCAAATTGATTTTCTTTTACTTCAAGTAAAACTTTATATTTTCAGTATTCCATAGGTGTAACTTTAAAAGAATAATAAAGGTAAGACATCGAAACAGACTACGGTGTGTTTATTTGAATTTGAACCAAATAAATGAGAGAAATTTCAAAAATGATGGGGTGGGCACTTTATTTTGCCTATCAGTGTAGAACCAAAAGCGGTGCGATGCTATGACGATGACTATAAGAGGCTTAGAAGCAGAAGGGCGAAAGCCAATTCTCTTTTTCGATTTCCTCTTTTGTGATGACCATGGTTTCCTATTTCGCACTATTTCTGCTATGCTCTTCTATCATCCACAACAACAAACGTATCAATGAATGTGTTTGCCGTCGAGTTAACGTTATCTGACCGTGCACTTCGTAGTTGCTCCTCCGTGAATGATCACAACTAATCCACTTGCACATAGAACTACATAGTTGGTGCATGGGATAAGCTTTCCATCTTCAATGTACAAGCACATTAATTCAATCTATAGATCAATTCACAGCGTCGGCCACGTCCTCACGGTCTTTTGGGGAGGGAAGGATGATTAGTTCGACGTCCGCTTGTTACTAGAGACCGAGAATACCTCTACATCTCCACGGCTGTCTCGGGAAGGATAGTTGTGTAAGTGAGCTAGGTTATTTTTAGATTAGGATTCACTGTGGTAAGTGATGCGATCGGTTAAAGCAGAATTTGTTTTTTTTTATTTAAATCTAGTGGGGATGGAATAAGGCAAAGTGAAAAGTTGCAAGGAAGGGGACAGGCCTAGGATTGAACTCCCTACCTTCTGCTCAGTAAGCAGAAACGGTAACTACTGAACTACAAAACCTCGTCGTAATGCTACATCGACATGTTTCGTCTAGGAATGATTCTCTGATGGCTGTGTTGGGGAAGCAGCATATGCATGTACGTAATTGGTGGATTTGTTAGTTAATTCAACGCTTTTGGACAATGCTGGGCATTTACCACTTTTTCAATAGTTTCTTGTTGAAAATGAACATTCGGAAGCATTGTTATCGATGCGTAGCCATATTTCTGATCGATTGGTGATAAAATTATTGAAATTGGTCCAGGGGCAGCTGAGTTATTAACGTTCAAAATCATTCTTAATTTGTTACATATTCATTTTCGGTTTTCACAAAGTGTACTCCCATATAGAAATCAAAGACGTAGTCCTACGTCAAAAAATACACGAAAATTCATCATTACTCGTCATTACTCAAAAAAATGCAAAAAAATACAAAATACGGAAAAATACACAAATATTCGACGAATAATACAAATGCACGATAATTCGTCATTTGCACGAAAAGTTCGAAAATATGTACAATCAAAATGCTACACTCGAAAAAAATGCGTAAATTTATTATTTTGTATTTTAATCCGAGCTCGAATCACAGAATTTCACCCATTTTTTAGAAAAGTGCCTTAAATTATTTATTAAATAAGAAAAAACATTAATGAGTCGTTGTGACCTACAAATAAGCAACGATAATTCATTAAAGCGTAACAGCCTTGGTATAAGATGCTTATTAATGCGTAATGAGTGAGATAAGGGGCTGTTTATAAACTACGTAGACAATTTAGGAGTGGGAGTTTGGCAATTATCCTTGGCCCGGGATGGGGGGGGGGTCAAGAATCTGTCTTCGTAGTTAATGAACAGCCCTTAATGAGTTAATGAGCTAAGCCTCTATTCTTTAAAATGGGTGAAATTCGACTCATCAGTGGGTATTAGAAAGAATAAATTAGAAAGTAAAGAAGAACACCTTTTTAAGATGGTATTACATTTTTTTTGTTTATTTGTGCATCAGATTAGAAAATCAATGAATCGGCCTTGGACTTAAAGTCTTCTTAATAAAGATACAACAACAACAATAATAACTTATAGCGAATTCGTTTATTATCGGGGTTGGAACCTTTTCCAACCTAGCGCGAAACCGAACTTTTTGTCAGTGGGATCCTCAACCTGAGGTATGTTTAAAAAACAAACGATCAAACTGACGTTTGTCAGAAAACAAGTAGACCAAATCTTAATACCCGATCCAGGTCGAGACTGTATAATAAACGAATTCGCTATTAATGTTTTGATAGAGCTTTTTAATGCACCACCAACGTAGAGTTTACCACATAAGGTCGAGAGGAAATGTCAACCAAACGCGAATTAAAGCATTTTTCTTTGAATATCTTGCCTCGGCTGGGATTAAACCCAGACCCATTGGGGTGAGAAAGTAGTCACGCTTATAACTACACCACCGGCGCCGGCAAACCTAAACTATTCACACACAAGAAATGCGGAAGATCATAACCACTAAGGCACTATTCTAATTTTCCATTTTTCTCTATAAAAATATTCCTAAACACCAGCACTGCCCATAATAGCATAACTGTCCCACATGGATAGGAAACCAAGCAAAGATGGGACTGACATGCGATTATGGACAGAGCAGGATCATTGCAAAAACGCTACAGAATTAAATTTTTCAAACTTACGTCAGGTTTTGGAGCATCTCAGATGAATTATCAGAAAAAGTTAAAAAAGTTTCTCACGACAGAAATTTCTTTTCACCACCAGAGGCTGAATCGATCACTTAGTTTCTATTAAATGGCGTATTGTCATGTTATAAGATCATCATAAGATCATGATAAGATGTGCATCATGAAAACAGTGATATTTGGCGTCTTCCGGACGAATTAAGTAGATGCCCGTTTTACCCCCACCTTCCCAACTTAACGGACTTGACTCACGTCACCAGTTAGATAAGTATGGATATTTCAAATTGAAACAGTTTTAAAATTAGAGCTAGATGCTAGTGTTCTTTTAATAACGAATGTTGGTTTATTGACAATAATCAAAACAACAAATCAATAGTGAATTTTCAAAAAGTCGCATCTGCTTTGTAATCAAAGATTCAAACGTAAGTTTGTTGAAACTCTTAGCTTGCCCACGTTTACGCTAAACATCATCATCTTATTAAATGAGGAAGGCCGCTTTTAGCTGAAATGGGTATTTTTTACCCATTAATGGGTTTTCGCGAAACACCGTGTAACACCACCGTAGTGTAGTTTGCATGGGCGAGCTAAGACTTTCGACAAATTGACGTTTGAATCTTTTTTACAAAAGCAGATACAGCTTTCTGAAACTTCACTCTTGAAATCCAATAACATAAATAAAAGCACCTGTATTTATAAATTAATATAAATCCGTTAGTTGCACATGAAGAACGTATCTATCGTTTAATTTTACATTTGTTTCTTATCGCCTGCAGCATCCTTTGGAGCGTCGATACCCATGGCAAAACGGAATTTACGTCGTCCTTCTATGTAGTACATAGCCTCATGGTATGTTTTAGGCATAATGCGTGGCAATCGCTCCGCCACAGAATAAGTATAATAGAATGAGTTGGTTGTCGTTTGCTGCCCACTGACAGCATCATAAACATCAGCTAGTACGACAATTTCCATGTAATGTAAATCGGTGTAAATCACATGGGCTTGCATGTTCAGCATGGAGGAAACATCGACGGGATGATGGAAGCTTATATCAGAAATATGTTCCAGCTTTGGACGCCGTTTAGCAAAATTGTAAGCCAAAGCCCAACTTAATTCCAAAGCATTCCGCATCAGGAAGCCTCCAAACACTTTATTATGTGCATTGCGATCTTCTGGGTGGGAGAAAACAATGTTAGCCATAGTAACGTCCTCCATCCATACATATCCCGGGGGTAAGATTCGTTTGTTGAAAGCACGGCTCTTCGTATCGATCGATTTAACGAATAGGTCATGCACCAGTCCCTGTTCAAAGTCATTGGGTTCAGTTTTCAGCAAATCTTCCTTTTGCAGCTGAATTCTTCGCTTTTTACGAGCTGAAAACAAAATTGAACTTTGATTAAACGCTTACTGTTCGTTATCCAATCGATCGAAGTATTATACATTCGCCTCCATCGAAGATGACTTTTTCTTCTTCATTTGCCGGTACGAGCGGATTGATCAAGGCCGCTTTCGTGTTGGTAGCATCTCTAGCTGCCATAAGAAACAGCGCGCGCGTCAGTTTTCGCCACTTCCCGTGTAACTTCTGCTCCATCCACACGACGATCTCAATAGATGTACGGCCTACCCAGCTAACGTGACCAGATAGACGAATATCAGCATCATGCGTTGGAACCAGATCGGTGAAGTCAATTTTGTCTACCAAAACAGTCACAAAAGTGTAAGGAAGGGCCACCCCTTCCGGTAGGTTGGGCAATAGCAAGTGTTTGTGTACTACCCAAACTGGGGATAGAAATAAGTAGTTAATAAAAGCAAGCACTTGGTGTAAACTAGAAAAACTCAGAGGGAAAGATGGGCGGAGAGAATGTTTTGAGCCAAATGAACTGTCAAAATCTAAGCCAATCGAACATTCCCATTAGATTTTTTCAAAAGATTTCTTATTCTTACTACATTAAATTTGAGAGCATTGCAAACAGAAATTCAAACACATTTGTGATTCGTGTGCTTCTCAAATTCAACTAGCTTTTGGAATCAAAAACAATTTTCTAACTCTATTGATTAATTGATCTTAGTTGTTGGTTAATTAATGACACCTAGTTTTAGTAAGATTGCAAGATAATTTAGGTACACATCCCTGCTGTAGAGTTGTATTTTGTTTTCTCCACCCATCTCTCCCTCTGAGTATTTTTAGTGTAAACAAAATGTAGTTAACATACCAGCAAACATGTCCATATCTTCCATCAAACGACCTAGCCGTACGTTTCCCATGAATCCTACGTATTTATCCTTGAGCACTTTATCATTTGTCAAAGGAATGATGGCAGAAGTGAAAGAATCCTGCATGGATCTCGATGGCAACTCATCCAAGGATCTTGGTGCGTGTTCGGTAAGATGTTCGCGTGTACTTACAAGTGGACTATATCCTACTTCTATGCCAAGTTTTTTGATGATAATTTGCTTTACTGCAATTTAAATATATAAAAAATGAAACATGTTTAACCCTCAATGCCAATTTTTTTTTTTTGCTTGAAAAAAAAACTATTCCAGGTTCTTTTTATGATGATAAAAACGAAAAATATATTAACAGTTCAAAATAGGTAGAAGTAAACTATTTGTACATCAAAATTAATAGACCGCCTAAACGCGGTGTTGGGCACCTGTGCGAACAATATTCAATAATATGTTTTCTTCAAAAACCAGTCGTGTAAGTTATTCCTTGTGATGGAAGGCATAGAAACAGTTCTGATTTGCATCCCGGATTTAGCAGGTTCTCTTTTCGGAACGGGGCTGAAATTCTGGGAAGTGACAACTTTTTGTAGCGGGGCGGCCTTGAGATTGGCACTTTATAGGGGCACATGGTTTTCGCAAACTTCTGCTCGAAAATTAGGTAGCTGGTAACATGCAGGAGATGATACAGCAAACGGTTTACTTTTTTGTTTTTACCAGAATATGATAGCGACCAATAAGCCCGTATGTCATGTCCACACCTCCCATGTGATGATTGTATTCACGAATCATGGGTGGGCATGGAACATCAACACAACATTTAAAGGAGTAAATGAAGCGGGATACAGTATCGCTGGAACTGCCATCGGATTCTTTCCTTGGCTTGACGCCCACGCCCATGATGATGCCAGTCTGACCGCTTTGCTATATTTCCAAACCGTCGATGAAATAGTTACTCCATGAACTTTTCCAACGTATTCCGTTCAATAGCCACGATTACATTTCTTCAAATGGGTATCAGCGGGAAGCTTGCTGTTGGAAATTCGAATAGTTCCCAAAGCAAAAATGCCTGAAAAATTACAGAAATATCCAAGTAGGATCATTATTAACAATATCAAAAAGCGAATATACCTCTAGAGCGCAGATAAGTAAGCAATGACAATGATGTAAAAAAGTTATCAAAACATATTATGTGATTTCTGAAATCCGGCACATTTTTTGATAGCCTTACAACTACATTTCCTGCTGCACCCAAATCAGGAGTTCCTGGTAGCACCAAGTTGTCGCCAGCTCCACAGTAAACCTCGAAACAGTTCGAAAACCCATGCGATTCGTACAAGATAAATAACTTAAAACCCCATTTATGGGGTTGGTTGGCTAAATACTGTCGAATGTTGGCCTTCATTTTAGTGGTGCACATCTGCTCATCTACGCAAAGATATTGGGTGAGAGGAACCGATTTGAATTTATCATTGAAATGATCAATGACAGGCCTGATTTTGTATGAACGATCATACTTCTCCGCAGTCTTTGGAGGAATAGCGTCATTATCTTTGAAGTGTAAATATCGACAAATCTCCTTAAATCTGTTCCAAGCCATCGCGCTTTGGATCGGCGGGAATGCATATTCGCTCCAAAGGACCTCACACTTCACGGTAACTCGCAACAACTCAAAATTGAGTCGAACATGCTCATTTCAGTGGGAAGTATGGCTACTCAAAAGTGAGTAGGCGCACTTTTACTCAATTTTGAGTAAACAACGTTCTCGCGCAGAGTGAGCCAAAACCACTCTGAGATATTTTCAGCCGGGAAGTTTGTTTTTCTTTTTTGTTCTGATAAAAAGTTGAAATTAGCTGCTCCAGATTTATTTAACTGGAGCTGAAGAGGACTGAAAACAGTCTCAGCATGCAATTCCTACTTACCTTAATGCATTTCGGCCTGTGTTATGCAATAATTTCGCCGTTTGCTAGAGCGTTTGCTCCGACACGGCTGGCATGTTTTTTTTTCTAAGTCCCGGATTTGGCTGACTGAGTGGCTTTTACTCAGTTTGACATTTCCCGTTTACTCAGATTTTGACAACCTAATGCATCAGACGAAATTAAGTACGATCGACTCACCCGGTGAGTAAGCTGAAGTAAGCGTGTTGGGTATTGGTAGACGGACATGTAAATAAGAATTCCAAAAACAAATTCTTACTTCCACCGCTGTTGTGGAAAAAAAAACTGTTCATGATGTCCTTTTGCTTTCTGCTTCTTCTTCTTCTTCTTCTTCTTCTTCTTCTTCTTCTTCTTCTTCTTTTCTTTCTTTAACATCCGTCTCAGTACCGCAATCTAGTGCCAATCACCGACGGACATCGATTGCCATCCATTGATGGCAATCGAATGTGCAGGAAGGCGCACTGAAGCAGCAACCAGATTAAAAAAATGCTCCATTTACAAAATAAAAACATTTTAAGATCGCAATCGTATACCTCCCTGTGGAAAATTTTCATCAATTTCATAGTTCTTCTATTCTCCACGTGAGACAACTTTGCCAATAGTAGAGTTCCTGTTGATTAAATGAAGTTTAGTTTTTTTTTTCATCGAGATATGGGACTATGCAAATATTTGCCTAAAAAGGATTATTATGAATTATTATTGAACAATATCGTCCTATAGAACCATTTCTCCAATATCAACAGCATAATTGCTTTACATAGTAAATGCACTTAATTTTTACTTTAATCTCAGTAGAAATCCTATAAATTAAGATGCGCAGGAGGTAACCTTTCCATCACAGAATCACACCGGAAGAAAAACTGTTAGCTACCGGAAACCTATTCATAGGTTTCCCGGCGAAAAGATTAGTTTTGCTTTATTGAGAACTTTCCGTAAAAGCTCTACGCAGATGTCGCTACTGCATGATGATAATAATGTTGACAGGCATAAGAAATTCATAAAAATGAGCATTAAAACACCATTTTTATCAAACTTGCAAAACATCCTTCCTATACAACTATACAATACAACGCAAAATATTGACTATCAATACCAAAATTTCGCATAAATGTCCAACCCATTTTGTGTGGTGTGTGCTGCTGTCTTTCAGTGTTGCCCAATGATTAGGGAACTTTCATAAATAACGTAGTAGTTGAGGGAGGAGAGGGGCTTCAGAAGTTGGGACCGGCCATGTATTAGGTGTATTGCAAAACACGCTCCGAGGGGGAAGGGGGGTTAATTGGTCAAAAATATACGTAATTTATGGATGGCCCTAATTTTACTTCCAAGGCTGTGTCGCAATCAGCGCTGCCATTTATACAGATTTATCTGTATTATACAGATTTTTTAATCTTAATACAGACCCGATACAGAATACAGATTTATCACAGATTTTTAAATTACAATACAGATTTATACAGATTTTTATAAAATGCTTGAGAAAAAAAAAATCAAAATTTATAAAAACAAAATAACTTTTTTGATTGTATGGGGATTTACAGTATTAATTGAATATTTCCAATATAAGCATGTATGTTAAATACAAGAAAAGTGTCCGAGCACATTAAAATGGTACAAATACAAGTACTCGTAAACATTTTACTTGCATTGAAAATGTATTTCGTAAGAAATTGTGGATTTTCTGATTTTCTCCATACTGCAAAAATGATTTTACCAGCACTGGCGGGGCGACATCTCTTGACTTTTCGGTGTAACTACCACACAAATGATGTAATTAGTTGTATTCATCTTTATTAAAAATATCAAATAGTAATGAACTCGTGCACTTTTTTTGCATTTAAAACTGCTTATCAGGAAGATAATGAATAGAAACTAAAATCTCCATACATTTTCAAACGGCTTCATATCACTCTTATAAATAAGTACGGACGATATCACAAATGGTGCAATTATATCCCGTATGGTTAGTACGATAGCCCGAATAGGTGGTTAAGCACTTTTTATGGTTATTTTGTATGCACTGTATTTGTAAAACAACAAAACATGATTAAGGAAAAAAATCGTCAATACAGAAAATACAGATTTTTTAATAGAGTGGATACAGATTTTTTATAAAACCACCTGGCAGCTCTGGTCGCAATGGGTGAGTTGAATTTAACTCGTGGTTTAAAGTGACAGATGAGTTATCGAATAACCCTACTGTACGAGCGTGGTTATTTCGGACCGACTAGAAGTTAAATGTTGGTAACCGTGGCTGAGTTCTGTTTGAAAACTGATCAATTTCCGGCATTTTCGAACATTGAAAATAACTTACGAAATGTCACGTTTAACCACGAGTTAAATTTAACTCGGCAATTGGTACACAGCCCAAGAAGTATTTCTCGATTACTTTTTCGAAGGAACGTATTAGCTTTAATAAACAACGCATTTGATCGTCGATTTGGCGTAACTGGTAGCTCGCCCACGCATGTTAGTACTACCATGAGATAGGGGAAAATTTTCCCAACCTGTTAGCGGTGTTAGTATGTGGGGCGAGCTATTAGTTATGCCAAACCGACGATAAAATGCGTTGTTTACAAATGCTAATATGTCCTTCCGAAAAGTAATCGAGATTTGTAGTTATCATTCAGGCAAGGAGCGCTTGCGCCATCGAGGCGACGCCGCTACCAGCAGCCAATGATCTCGATGGAAACGACGTGCAAAGTTCGAGGTGCAAAACTCGAACTCTGCGCGCTTGACAGGAACCGCCTTCCTACTGCTTATGCTGTTGTTGCTGCTGCTACCTGTTTACCCGCCGTCCGAAGTGAAAATGAGTTGAGGCACATTAGCAGCGCTGTTTTATAACTTTTCTGATTCAAGCAGCACGATGTGCAACCAAATTGTACTTGATTATGAGGACTGGGTTTGGGGAGAACGTTTATTTCATGAAAACAGTGATAAAATTATCACTTTTTATTTGTCCATTTTTAAAACAGTTTTTTTTTATAAAAAATTGAAAAAAAAAGTTTATTGCAACAGCTTACGAAAGGTATTTCATATCGATTGTTGTATTTGGATTTTAATTTCATCTATAAATGACAAAGCATATAGCGTTCAAAAAATTACACCTTTTCGTGACGGTCGCAATTATAGATTTTCGATTTACCCCCCAGTACCTTCCCGTAAGACGTAGTCTACGTCAAAATAAACATTGCAATGAAATACGAAACACCACTAGACATTTGCACATTTCACTAACACCAAGAAGCCTGTTGGCCCGGACCTAATATAAATGACATTGGCTTCTACTCAGAGGAATTAAGACATTAAATTAAATTTTCTAAAAACTCTAAGAACTCAGCGCTGAGTACCTGTAGATTTTAGAAATTTCTCGATACCTCTGAGTAGAAGTGACTCTCTTTCTCTGAGTTATTCTGGCTGTGAGTGGCCGTGAGGACGAGGTCATTTATCAAAATATTGAGGGTGGCACTCATGCCCCGGGTGGCATTAGTGCCCCTTTCAGCGTTTTAGTCACATCGATGAAAAAAATCCCGGAGGATCAATTTCAACCAAGTCATGTATGAATAAACCATGGCAGGTGCAACTAAATAAGAGATGAACTAGCCTCAGGCTAAAAATCTCTAAAATAAAGATTAAAAAAAAAAAAAAAAAAGGTGCAACTAAAACCTGATTCATCTAACATTTCATTTGCTTCCACATGCGCGCATTCCAAACCAAGTGACATCATTATGCTCGCTTACCATCGTTCATCGTTCCAGCGGTGCACTCCAGGTCGCCTTGTCCTTTAAGATAGCCGATGTTGGACATGCTATTGTAGCAGCTGACGAAGAAGATACAGTTTAGTCATCCAAGGACAGACAGATTAACAATAATAGTATGCCTACCTTTGCCCAAATACGGATAATTTACCAATGCCATTGTTACCTGTACTCGATTTGAGTAGCTTCGTAGAAGCAGCATTGATTGCTCTGAGCGAACCGAGTTGATTTCTAAGCAGAAACATTTTTAAAAACGGATATTTACAGTTTATAATTAATCCAGAAAGGACTTATATATATACACTGTTTGCTCAACTAGCGAAAACAACACTCGTTCATGATATATGTACGAGAAAATTTCTATTCCGCGAATACCACGAATTTTGTGAAACATCAACCCAAACGACAAGACTTGTACTCAACTCACGATTCAACATTCTGGATCAATAATAGAAAAGGGCCCATCAGCATTTGTAAACAAACCGTTCCAAAGCCCATTCCTCACAAATCGAAGGCCGCCCACACAAACCAACACCATCATCGTGTAGGTAGAAGTTTCCCCTATCCGATGATGGTGTTGGTTTGCGTGAGTGGCCTTTGCTTTGTGAGTAAAGGGCTTTGGAACGGTTTGTTTACAAATGCTGATGGGCCCTTTTCTATTGTTGATCCAGCATTGTTTACAAACGCCAGCTGTCATCACCCAGATGCCAAACCCTACACGGAGTACCAAAACTAATCAATGGTTAAGTTTTTATGCGCTATTCTAAATCATTACACAGAGATGCAAAACTACCCAAAATTAAGTACTTTTCCCTCAATTCCGTGGTTCAGCCAGGTTCAGCCCATGGTGGGTATATAAATGGTGATACAGCTTTGTCACTATATAGGCGAGGAGGTCGCGGGTGGGGGGAGAGTGCGGTTTTAGAGCAAATTGTAAACAAACTCGGTGGCTGTCCCATACAAAAATTCAACATGGCTGAATCATGAATTTGACACATTAGAACACCTATATGTAGTCACCTTGGTTCAGCCCAATTCTTTTGGTGCAAGCAATGGAAATATTTACCTTATTTGACAAAACCCAAGTAATCATGACGTTCTCTTCTGGAACCCCTTATATTATGGGCCAATAACAAGTAAAGATTATAAGTATCATTGTTGTAAGCAGTATTTAGTTCGACATGGTTCGACTAACATGAATAATGAGTGTACATGATAATGAGTGTACGATAACATCGTTGAAAATTATTTCAATAATGTATGCAGAACAATCATGTAATATGTATTTTATTGGGAGCGATATTCATCCCAAAAACCATGCCAAAACAAATGTTTTCCGTTGGATTCCTTAAAAGGCAAAGACTATCTAATGATTGGCATGGATCTGTCAACAATCTACAAACCTCGCTACAAACTTCAAAAATTGTCGGAAGCTATTCCAATGCGATATAAATGTTTTCCTATAGTGCAAACTTAAATGACTGTCCAATACTTCCTACATGTCTTTTTACACGCGAAATATCAAAAAATGTCAAAAATCGTTAAAAGCAACTCCAATAAAATATACACAGAAAAAAAAGTTGTTGAATATTACATCCAAACTGCTGCAACCAGGTCAATCCATCGGTTGTGTAATATAACGTTGTACCATGTACATCGATTTTTCGAACAAAATTACATCCATTGATGTAATATTGTATCTGTTTTTTGCTATTACATCATTATTTCATACATCAGCTTGAATTACATTGATCGATTTTACTTTTTTTTTTGCTGTGTACATGACTGTCATATAAGATTTTTTTTTTTTCCTTTATTATAGAGATTTTTAGCCATAGGCTAGTTCATCTCTTAACCTGTCATATAAGATATATCTATCAGTGAGCAATATTCATCACGAAAACAGGTTTGTTTTACTGGATTTGCTTATAGCACAAACGAAGTGACAGACGGAGCGGCTCGAAATTTGATTTGACGCACTTACATTTACAATTTTCGAGTGTACCTCACGGCAACACTATCTACTCATATGTACTAGATTAAACTAGGGGGTACCGCCTGTTATCTCTTTTTCTCTAACGAAAATTGAAAGGGAGAGCCTGTTGTCAAACAGCATGTCATTATATCGCTTCTTTTGTATAATGAAAGACCATAGGCCAAAATGATTAGGGATGAACACATCGGATTAACATTTGCTTACAAGTAAACGATGTTGAGCTGTCAATGACTCGCGCTTGTTGCAATTGTTGCTACAGATTTCTTCAGTCCGTGCTAGAAGCCTAAGTCACAGTCATTCGCGACCGAGAAGACATAGACATCATTGTTGGACGCCAAACAGAACCCGGCCATACTCGGTATGCTGGTATACATTCACTCCTCCGTAGCGGAGCTGGAAGGATCCACCCAAGCTGCCGGATATCAGTTTTGCCTGCTCCAGCTTCTTCTTATAATTCTGCAGAACCAGACAGTGCGAGTACTGGTCGTGTTTGCCAAACCAACCGGTGGAATACTAATCTGAAAGCCGATTTCTTAGGCACGTTGCATTTGTCGCAATAGATCGTCACTTGCCGCTGCACTTTCATGGAGCGGATTACAATCGCCGTGGCAGTAGTTTCGTCGTACAGATCGATATCAACCTGATAGGTATGGCCGGCATGCTTCGCGTAGTGACGCTCGCTCATGTCACGGGGAATCCTTTCCGAACAGGCGGCGCATTGAAACTTCTGTACGAATCGATCGGGACATAGGATTTGATGTCACGCTTTTGTCTCTTGTTTTTGAATTGCGGACTGTTCGAAAAAAGTTTAAAACTCTGCAGGAAATTCAAAAATATGAAACTTTTTCTGAACTTGTACAGATAAAGTTCTGTTAATCTAATTTCTTTTTTTTTCCTTTGATTTGTTTTTCGTCGATCTGGTTTTCCGTACTGAGCACCAATGCTACCGATGCCAGCACTGATAAAAATCCCCTTATACCTTTTGGCAAATTTCCATTGCTGATTATTCATAAAATGTATAAGGCTACCACCAACCAATTTGTTCCGACGGCCGGAAGACCAAGCTGAGGCATGGGATGCTCACTATGCCCCACTTGTTCACTATGCCCCTCTTACCCCTACCATAAAATCACAACGAAAATCATGGTATATGAGAAATGTACAATAAAAAAGGGGGCTTGTTAAGCTAAGCATCTTAACAATAAAAAAAATTGATTTTTGTCGAACAAATTTTATCTCATCAAATTAATTTTCATTGATAATTGTATCGTTAAAAACGAAATTTATTATTTCTCCTTTCCAATAATTTAATAATAAATTTTTAATGTGCCCAAAATTCAACCGTAAAATTCATTGTAATTTCGTTATTTTATTATAATTTTTTTTGCGGCCATCCTCGGTATGCATTCGTTACTCCGTAGCGGAACCGGAAGCTCTCGACGAGGGCGATCTAAAGGAGGGCTTATAGTGCAAACTTATATGAATTTCAATTAGTTTCTAGATGTCCGTTCCCACTCATGACATATCAACAGGGTTTCACTTTAAAATATATCACACAATATTCATATGCATCTTACCCATCGCTAACCACGTCAGAAGCAAGGGAATGTCATGTACTAAGTATGTGAAATTACGATAGAAATCATTCGGTATCGCAGTTTTAGTTTTTAACTGATAATCCAGTGGAATCTATCAATCATCACATACACAGCAAAATAAAATGTAATATCGATCAACGTAATTCAAGCTGATGTATGAAATAATGATGTACACACTTAATCTAGCTCGGTAAAATCTCCAACAGCCGATTACCTCGGCATTTGCCTTTGCCGATATCTCTGCACATTATCTGTTTGTTAGCTGATATCTCAGCAAAATTTTATTTGTTAGCTGAGTCTCGGCAATTGTTTTACTGAATCTCAGCAAAATAAATTGCAGAATCACTCGGCTGTTGGAATCTCGGCGAAAAAAATAAGTGTGTAATAGCAAATAGCAGATACAATATTACCACAGACAAACAGACATAACACATTGAATATTTCTCATTGTAAAACATCGTCGCTAAACATTACCGCCACCTGTTGAGTACACTGTGGTGGGTAGTACGCTGCAAAGATGGCGGTAGTGTGTAAACGTCAAACGCAAGGGAATTTTCTATGCGCGCCACAGGTGGCAGTACTACCAACTGAGATACTTTCAAATTGACCGTTAAATGCTTGTTCGATGAACAACTTATGAGTGTTATGTCTGTTTGTCTGTGATATTACATCAATAGATGTAATTTAGTTCGCAAAATCGATGTACATCGTACAACGTAATATTACACATCCGGCGGAATGATCTCTGTACAGCTGTTTGGATGAAATATTCAACAACCTTTTTTTTCTGTGTAGAATGAATAAATCTTCTGACATTGCTATATTATGAGATGGATCCAATAAACCATACATGTCGATTTGTTTCAGTGTAGCTCTTTATTCCTATGAGAAAATCAGGCCAGTGGCAAGGCCTATATCAACAGCAGCGTTTGACAGTAGGCAGCATGTCCCGGGCTCAAAACGTTCATTTTGCTGTGCTGGGCCCGCTGTCATGGTATAACATGTTGCCTACGCCCCTGCCACTGGGCTGGAGAAAATCCATAAGTAAACCTCAGACTGTGCGTGAAACATGGCGGACTTTGTACTATCCTTTCACTCCACCGAAAAATCCCATAAGAAACTGTCTATATTTGCTGGAAGAGCAAATTATTCGACGGTGCCGTCAACGTAATTCTGAAGATTTCCTGCAAAAAGATGATGCGCAATGCAAGTAGATGCGCGAAATGAAAGAAGATTTTTCGAAGATTAATTCACTAGTGTAAGATTTTTTGAGCATCTACAATTGAGATTTAGATGTGTCGCCCCCCTCGCTCAAACTAACTAAATCATCTGACAGAAAAATGTGTGTTCTACACGGATACGAATTTTGTTCATTTAAAACAAAAAATATAAATGTTAATACCACAGACAAACAGACATATCACATTGAATATTTCTCACTACATAACATAGTCGCTGAACCATTACCACCATCTGTTGAGTACACTGTGGTGGGCACTACGCTGAACAGATGGTAGTATTTCTAGTGTTAGTTTGCGTTAGAAGTACTCAGAGAGAGAGATAGGCGGAGAAAACAAAATACAATTCGGCAACAGGGATTTGTATATAAAACCACAGACAAACAGACATAACTCTCGCAAGTTGTTCATCGATTAAGCATTTAACGGTCAGTTTAAAAGTATCGTAGTTGGTAGTACCGCCACCTGTGGCGCACATAGTCAAATCCCTTGCGTTTGACGTTTACACACTACCGCCATCTGTTCAGTGTACTACCCAC